CGCCAGGTGGCCTACGCATCGCTGCGCCTTACCGGCATGGTGCGCGAGTGCGTGGACGAATGGCCGCCGGCTGTCCTGACCGACCGAGGACTCCTCGACGGCAACCCAGCGCCACCGATGACCTTCCAAATGCGCAGCTTAACCGAATCATGGGGCCAGCTGGGCAAGGAGGAGCGCACCTCGGCAGCATCGGCTCTGATGAACTCCAACCGACCGCCGCAGGGTCGCATCGACAACGTTCGAACGGGTTCCGACGTCCTCCGCAGCCGGGCGCAGCAATATGGTCAGCTCACGATCGACTACGAGGGGCTCAGCTTCCTTCTGTTGCGCGCCGTCGGCGTGTCGAACATTCAACTTGCGATGCTCCTGCAGCGCTGCAGCGTGGCCCATCCCGCGGACGCCCCACAGCTCACCCACATTGCGGGCCAGCTGAGACCTTTTGTCAAGGGCATTAAAAAACGCCCCTACCCTGGTTTATGAGGCGCTGTCTGCTGAAACTCTTGCGGGCTGACAGGGTAAACCCTGCGTGATGTGCCGCGCCCTGGCGGCTCTAGGCTTTGGGGGGTCCCAAGAGGTTTACAGACCGCGCACTTGTAACCCAGGGTAGGGTCGTTGTTTGATCCCTCAACTTGGGGCACATGATAGAGGGATCGCCGTGCAATCTGCCTCTTCTGGCCCAGCCACGCTGTCCAGCGGCGCGCGCTCCTCGCGGGCGCGCCCGCGCTGGGGCAGAGCTGGGGCGGCATGGGCCCCGCTGCGCCGGGGTCGGCGCCAGCCCCCCTCGCGCCCGCCGAGAGGAGGGAGAGAAGGGGGGGAGGGAGGAAGGGATGGGGGGGTGGATGGGGGGGAAAAAAGGGGAGGGGGGAGGGGGGGGGGAGGGAGGGAGGGGGGGGGGATGGAGGGGGGGCGGGGAGAGGAGGGGGAGGGAGGGGGAGAGAAAGGGAAAAAGAGAGTTAGGGAGGCGGAAAAGGGGAGAAGGAGGGAGGGGGCAAGGGAGGGAAGAAGGGAGTGAGGGGGAAGGGGGGGGGGAGGATGGACGGAGCGGGGGGGGGCAGGGAGGGAGGGAAGAGGGACGGAAGGGGGGATGGGGGGGGGGGGGCAGGAGGGGGGAAGGAGGAGGAGGAGGGAGGAGGTGGAGGAGGAGGAGGAGGAGGAGGAGGAGGAGGACAAAATACATAACCACGAGGTAAAATGTTTCATCTGGATTATACTGTTGTGACCTTGTACCTGCAGTGCCTCACCACAGGAAAGGGTTTACTCCAGATTAAACCTCTCTGCATCTGAAGCGCCCCTCTGGCCATCATTTCGCCTCTTCTCTAATTCCGCGGCGCATGCTCTTTTCACTTCCTGGGCCCCGTGCTCGAAACATGATCGCCCTGGGGCCGGCCGTTTACGGCGGCGCAGTCGTTATTTTCATTTGCCTTTCGGGTTTCTGTTGCCAAGGGTTACTTCCTTAAGTCGCGCTGGCTTCTCTGCAATCGACTCGTTTTCCTATTCAGTTCCGCAGCCTGTCACGTTATGGACGATTTTTCGTGAGGCTGCTCAGGGGGGTGATGTTTGGGTCTTGTAGTTTTAGTTTTGCCGCCCTCCTCTCGCCCTGCTGTCTGATCATTGAGTCACCCGGTCATTGAGCCACCTTTCCTCGCTCTTCAGGTTTTTTTTTGTTCCGAAGGTTGTTTTGTTTGGGGCTGCTGGCTCTCAGGTTACGTCGGCGTCTTTTTTCGGATACGAGCGCTCTCTTGCTATGAATCCCTTCTGCCTTAGTTTTGCAATGTTTCTGGCTCTGGAGGCTTATTTTTCCAGCTCTGCTGGCCTGTCTGGTTCAGGAGGTGTGCTTTTTCATCATGCAGGCTTGCTGGTTCAGGGTGCGTGTTTCTCTTGCCCTGCAGGCTTTCTGGCCCAAGTCGCTCTTCACTCTGGCTTTGATCTAGAGCGATTGCTTCTCACACGTTGCGGGCTTTCTTGTTTTGTCGGTTCCTTCGCCGGCGTCTGCAAGCGCTCTCTTCAATAACAACACAATTTCTGTTTGCGCTCCCCTCCAGGAGGGTTTAACTCCAGAGTTAACACTTTTCACGGGATCTCCGGTCCGAGGGTTAACTCTGAAGTAAACACTTGTTCAACGGTACTTCTGGTCGGAGGGTTCATTCTGGAGTAAACATTTTTAAGCAATTGCCACCTTTCTTGATGGTGATGGTGCTGATGATGATGAGTATGATGATTATTGTGAGGGTTATATGAATGATGATGTTGATGATGACGATGGCTATGACGAGGATGCGGATGATGAAGGTGAGGACGAACAGGAGGATAAAGAGGAGGAGGAGGAGGAAGAGCTGAAATGCATCAGTATGTGATTGGCGAGTTCGACGTTCCCAGAAGGTTCAAGAACTTCGTAAGGGGTGCGAAGATAGGGGCACTTCGCGGTTTGGGTGTTTTTCTGTAGGCAGCGGTGCGCGGGCGCGACGATATTTTCGTCCGTCTGGTTGTATCGGAGGTTTTCTGGCATCTCCTTGTATCGAAGACGCCTACGGCGAATCACCGCCGCCCCCTGCCTTTTTGGAAGCGCCTATGTGGCCGAACGTTGAGGCCAGACCTGCCAAGATATCGGACCATGTGTTCCCCGAATCGGTTTGGAAAGCCTTCGGGGAACACGTGGGCATCTTGAAGGTCCTCTTGGCCGCCTGGAGGCCATTTTGACCCCTTCGGGCCTTCTTGGAGGACGTCTTGGAGGGCTCTTGGGCCGTCTTGGAGGCTATCTTGAGCGTCTTGGAAGCCTCTTGGGCCGTCTTGGGGGCCCCTTGGGGCCGTCTTGGGCATCTTGGGCGATCTTTGGGGGCACTTGGGTCGTCTCGGGCCGTCGGAAGGCAGAAAAAGGCGAATGCCATAATCCTCCAAACAACTCATGGGAAATCAATATTTTTGCCTTTTTCGGGCCTTCCTGGATGCCCTCTTGAAGGCCTCTTGGGCCGTCCTGGGCCACCTTAGGGCCATCTTCGGCCGTCTTGGTGGGCCCCTGGCCCGTCCGACGCCGTCGAAAGCCGTTTGGGGGGCCTCCCTGAGCCGCTTTGGGGCCCTCTTGGAATGCTCCAGGGCAGTATTGGAGGCGATCTTTGGCGTCTTAAAAGGCCTCCTGGGCCATCTTGGGGGCCTCCTGGGGCCGTCTTGGGGGCCTCTAGGGCCGTTCTGGGGCCATCTTGGAGGCCTCTTGGGCGATATTTGGGCGAACTTGGGGGGCTATTGGGCCGTATCGGGCCGTCGGGAGGCCGAAACGAAGCAAATGTCAAAATCCTTACACAATCTACGGGAAATCAGTGTTTGTGGCCTTTCTGGCCTTCCTGGAGGCCCTCTTGGAAGCCTCTTGGGCCGTTTTGGGCCAGCTTCGAGCCAACTTCGGCCATCTTGGTGGGCTCCTGGTCCGTCTGACGCCGTCGGAAGCCGTTCGGGGAGCCTTTGTGGGCCGACTTGGGGCCCTCTCGGGGTGCTCCAGCGCCGTCGTAGAGGCCATCTTGGGCGTCTTGGAGGCCTCTTGGGTCGCCTTTGTGCCCTCTTGGGGCCGTCTTGGGGGCCTCTTGGGCAGTCCTGAGGCCATTTTGGAGGCCTCTTGGGCGCTGTGGGGTCGATATTTGGGGCCTCTTGGGCCGTCTTGGGTCGCCGGAAAGCCGAGAAGAAGCGAATGCCAAAATCCTTCCCAAAACTCTAGGAAAATCCTTGATTTGGGCCTCTTCGGGCCCTCCTGGAGGACCTCTTGGAGGCCTCTTAGGCCGTCTTGGAGGCCTCGGGGGCCTCTTGGGCCGTGTTGGATGGACTCTCTTGGGCCGTCTTGGAGGCCGTCTTGGACCATCTTGGGCGAACTTGGAGGCCATCTTGGACCATCTTGGAGGCCATCTGGGGCCAACATGGCCATCTTGGAGGCCATCTTGAGCCTTCTTGGAGAATTGTTTGTGGACGCCGAGGTCGTTTGCGCTCCTGGAAAAGCCTCCCGGCACCGGGGCGGGACGGGCCGAAGCCCCAGGGGAGTTTTTTGGGAAAAAGAACCCAAACCAAAACCTAAGAAGTCCAGCGCGCCAGGCACACCTGCGATGAATCGACAAAGGGCGGCGGATTTTCCCTTTTCCCCATCTTTCCCCCCGCCTCCCGTCGATTGACATTTCTGGCTCGGAGCTTTCATGTCCATGTGCACGTATTCGTAACTTCTCAAATTGTTGCCCCGCTCCGCTGGGGACAACGCCTTCACATTTAATGGCATTCGGCCCATCCCGCCACCAAGCCTGGCTTGTGGGTCTGAGGCCTCTTGGATGGTCGTTGGGCTCTCGTCGAGGCTTTTCGGGTGCCTCGTGGAGGCAGTTTTGATGCTTCTGGGGGGTTGTTTTGGGACCTTTGGGGGCCTCTTTTGGGCTTCTTGGGGGCCTCATAGGGCCTCGTGGGGGCCCCTGTGGGGTCAAATGGGGCTTCTCTGGGGCTTCCTAGGGCCTCCTAGGCGCTCTTCGGGCGGTGGCTCGGATTGTGGGTTCGCGTTCCCCCTCTTGGGCCACTCTTGGGTCCTCTTGGGGGCGTTTTTGAGCCGTCTTGGGCGCTTCTTGGGCCGTCCTATGGCCCTCTTGGGCCGTCTGCCCAACAATCATTGGAAAAAACCCATTGGGAATCAATGATTTGGGCCCCGCGGGGCCCTCCTGGGAAGGCTCTTGAGTTTCCCTTGGGGTGTCTCGAAGGCTTCGTGGGACATCGGGGGGTGGACCGATCGTTCGGCAAGTCGGGGCCCTCGTGGGCCGTCTTGGGGGCCTATTGGGGCCCTCCGGGCCCGCGTCGGGGCCTTCCTGCCAGAGCCCGAAAAAGTTACGAAACAATGCTTCGCGGAACACAGGGTACACGTGCCATCGGGGTCAGGGCCTTTAAGAATTTCCTCGGGAATCAGTCCGGAGGCACTAGGCAAGGACATGATGAGACGCCCGCTCCGTGTCCTGTCAACGGTGGCGGATGCCCGTGCCCATGCAGCTGTGACGATGGCGTTTGGCTTCGTTGTGCCAGCTACTGCAGTCTTGCTTTACCGCCGCCCCACGGTGCAAGGTGAACTGTTGCAAATGCAGGGCGCAGAGGAGCTCGCGCCACAGCTTGTCGACGAGGGTTGGGTGCAGTCTTCGTCGTCTTCTCGTCTTGGGATGGAGCTGGCCCTGGTCGTCAGCGACGGCCCGGTCGTCGGAGACGCCCCCGCCGCACAGGCGGAAGAGAGCGCACTTGCGGTGAGAGTTCTTCGCGACAAAGGTGGAAGGAAGCGGAAGGATAGGAAAGACCACGAGCAGATCGCCATGGGCCTTGGCGCCGCGCTCCGCAACGCAACTAAGGCGCACATTGCAGACCGTAGGCTCTCCACCGAGCCGATCGCCCCCAGATCGAGCCAGGGCGCCCCGACGTTGATAGCTACGTGCGACCGGTGCAAAATCGCTTGTTGCCCCAAGCAGCGGTGCTTCCAGGCGGTGGTCGACGACGACGGGGCCAACAAACTCTGCGCGCAAACGTTCGGCTGCTGCGCGGAGGCCGAGGAGGAGCTCAATTACAAACGGCTGAAGCTCGATAATGCGAGAAGGCTCAGTCACCCCATCCCTTCAAAGGTGGCCAACAACTTAGAGATGGAAAAGGTCCCCGCGCAGGCGTGGCCGGACGACTGGCAGGTCAAGCATCAGAGGCGCAGGAAGCCCGAGACCGAGCTCGAGCCTTATTCGGCCGCGCGCACGGGGGCGCTGCAGCTCTTCGTCGACAATCCGCCAGAGGGCGTCACCATCCTTCCTGGCGCCGTGTGCCAGCAAGACCGCGTCCGCATCGCGTTCAGAATTTCTTCCGCTGTCCGGTTGTCGACGAACGTGGGTTTCCCCATTCTCCTGATGGATTTCACTTCCAAGGCGAACCAGGACACTCGGGTCCCAAAACCCATGGCGGCCGGTGATGATGGACCGTAGCTGGTCGTTTTCCATATCCAAAGGATGGGTTTCTTCTTATTGCTGTGACCGCGCGGACATTCCTTTCGCGCGCCCCCCATCGCTTCTCCCCCTTGACGCCACTTGGGGTGCGCGCTGGGGCCTGTTTGGCCCCCTTGGGGGCTTATTGGCCCCCCCCTTGCCCCCCCATGTTGAGGCCGTTTCGGGGCCCTCTTGGGCCATTTTGGGCGCCGCGCGCGATGTCTCGGGGCCTTCTTGGGCAGTTGTTGGGCCCCCATTGGGGGCCCAGTGGGCCGTCTTGGGGCGGTCTTGGGCACCTCCCGGGCCATCTTGGAGCGCCCAGAAGCCCAGGGGGCAAGGGGGCCACCATCTTGAGAGAGAGAGAGAGAGAGAGAGAGAGAGAGAGA